AAGAGCTGAGTAGAGCCCCAAACGAGAGGTCACCCAGCAGCCACGGAGCAGAGGCCAGAGGGGGTTGCAGTGACGTGTCCGCGGGCTCTGCCGGGAGCCAGCTGTGCCAGAGAGGACCGAGCCTCAGGCCCAGAGGCCAAAGGCCTGAGGGCACCCCACCCCCCAGAAGGGGCCCAGCTGGGCCACAGGCACCAGGCCCCGCCAATCAGCCACCAGGAGTGAGTCGGTACATACATGAGCGCCCAGCCCCAGACACCAAGAACCACCAACACACCAACATTTTAAGTGTATTTTTAAAGGTGACCTTATTTGACCTCAAAGAAGACGTCAAAGGTCCAAAGGCCGACATGTTGTCAGTACAACATTTGTGGAGGTAATACACAGTAGTTAGTCGTTCTTGTGGAGCTGCCTTTACCAGCTTCACAAAAAACAGAAAAATCGTATATATCACCAACTGTAATACATTAACATGAGCAAAATGCAAAGAACCTTTTTTGAGCATTTCTAAACCTTTGGTCTGTCTACTTGTTCCACTAATGAGTATCTACTACACTACTGATAATCCACATGAGTGCATGAAAGAACCACTTACCCCAAAACATTGTAGCAAGACTCTCTTGTTGTCAGAGTTGTCCTCCAACTTGAAATAGTTGATCACAGATTTTAGCACACTTGGTCGTATTGTCTCGGTGACATGCCACTGGGTGATCTGAACTTCCTCGAGGGATAGCAGGACAACCACAGTGGTGCTGACTGCTTGCTCCAATGCTCTAGCCACAGGTGGAGTCAGCAGATCCACCATCTTGGACCGCACGCTGTCCACCCAACAGCGCACTACTGTCTGCAGGACCATATTCTGAGTGGCACACGGCTGACAGGCTGAAGCGAAGATGGTAGGGCAGCTCCAGTTGAACTCCTTCACCAGATTTCTTGCTAGGCAAAAATTAGGGTCCTTAGTGGTGCTAGTGTTGTTGTTGCTATTGTTTTTGGTGGTGGTGGCATTGGTATAGGTGGTGTAGGTGGTACACATCCTGTTCACCCACTGGCTCCATGGCTCACGGGACAGAGACAGGAGAAGACTGTCATTAGGGCAAATGGATAAGAAAAAATTGGTCTGATCATTCTCCCAGCATAGAGCCAGGAGTGTAGCATCTGGTGGAGATGTGATCCAGCTGGAGTACTGACACTGTTTAGTCTCGCCTTCCACACTTTTATTAGAAGATGTCCCTGGGTCTTTTGAGTTGTTGGCACAGTGCTGTATTAGCCAGGTGTTGTCCTGATTGGCCAACAGGTTTTGTAGGACTGTATTATTGGCACAGACTTTGGAGGTAAAGTTAAGTTGGTCCATCTCAGCACAGAGAGCCACCTCAGTCATGTCCACAATGATGGGACGGGTCCAGTCAGAGTACTTGCACACCTACAGGACCATTTATGGTGAACACAACATCAGAATAAAAAGTTAGAAAATGGTTAGAAAACAGTTATAAAATGGCTTTACTGTTGTATATGCAATTAATGCTGTTATCTTTAGTTTCTTTTTTCTGTAAAGATACAAAATGCACGAGTGGATAAGAATATTTAGGTTCAGATTTCAGAACAGAAATGTTCGGACTTTGGGATGTAATGGGATGATTTTGTTTATAAGAGACTCATGCAGGCTTATTTTACTACATAAGGCTTAAAATAACAGTTCTTTCTTTTTTGTGCTTGTTAATTAGATTTTATATGTTCATTCTTGCCAGGTAAAACACCCACCTGAGGTGGCACGGTTATTTCCTCCATGTCTGTGCAGACTGATGTAAGCCATTTGTTCAGAGGATTTTGCAGCAGCTTTTCCAACACAGACTGTTTGCAGCAGACACTCTTCTGAAAAGCACTCTGATCATTCTGCCAACAAAGTCCGATCACAGAATCGTCCACCTGTCGTTCTCCCCACGTATTGTAGTCACACCACATTCCAATGTTGAAGGCCTCTGTAGGCTCGGGGTGTGGAAAGCTAAGAGAGGTGCGGCAGTGTTCCTCAAGCCAGGTATTTTCTGTGCTAAGAAGAAGTTTATCCAAAAATGTTGCATTAGAGCAAACCTTTTTAGTGAAAGTGCTCTGGTCGAAGAGAATGCACATTGTCAAAAGATCATTGGTAATATTCATCTCATGCCACTCAGAGTAGTGACAAAAATCTAACTGCATATCCAAGCCAGGGATTGGCAGTGGAGGAGGTACGTTTGTGCAGTTAGGCATGAACTGAAAATGTTCAGGGTTAGACATTATAAACATAAAGAAGCCAGTGTTCTCACAGATGAGGTTGGTCAGTCTGACACTGTCGAGGCTCATGCAGAACGCCAGCAGGGAGGTATCCACCATGTTTGTGAACTTGTTAAGCCACTGGTCATACCGGCAGAACTCACTGACCATGTAGCCGGGGTCTGCAGAGGAGTTAGCGCAGTATCCATACAACCAGCTGTTCATCTTGTCAGATAGCAGCTTCCGCATCAATACAGCATTGCTACAGACCTGCTTCACAAACTCCACACGTTCATTGTCACTGCACAGTGACACAAGGACAGGGTCCACATTATTTTGCAACCAGTCGTTATAGTTGCATGCAAGTTGTCTGAGGTTGGAGGCTTCCCTGGCAACTCGACGAGGTTTAGTGAGAGGGGTGGCGGCAGGGGCCGGCCCTGCGTTGTCAAAACTGCAGTCAGATGACCTGCTAACAAGAGGAGAAGCCAGTGTTTGAATAACATAACACATGTTGCTCCACACATTCTTCATTTGGTTGGAGCTGAGGGAGCTTAGAGCCTCGCAAAACGTGACCACAGGCGTGGAAGACTCTACTCCTGAATTTGAGAGGATCTCAGCACACATTGTGTCGTTGATGGTGGCCAGATTGTAGCTATTACATAGGTTGTCATAATAATTCATAGTGCTGTTTTCAGCATATGAAATGCTGCGTTGGGAGGGAGCACTGGGAGGAGTCTGACATTCAGGTCCTGGATGCATGAATGCTGACTGATCTTGAGGGAGGAAGATGTCCAGGAGGATATCGATCAGTGATGTACTCAAAGACCAGCTCACATTGTTCTTAATTCCCCTGAACAAAACAGGAAGTTAATTATTATTGTACATTTTATACATCAAATATAATATACAAAATCATTGGTGTTATTCGTTCCACCTGTTAGTAGTCAATAATGTTGTGCCTGCCTGGTATGGTAAAGTCATGGTAAAAAGATCTAGTGGGGCTTTACTAGTTTAGTGTCTACATCCATCTTGTGGACAATTTTAACTGAGGTATAAAACACTTACATAATGTGTCCAGCCGGCACTTCAAAGGACTATTATACGACTCACAGCAGTAATTCTTCCTGCTTTATCAGCAACCTTGTTTTGTAAAGAAGGAAAAGCATTGCCCTGTGGTGCTGATGTAGTTAAAAAGCTTCACAGGGCAGCTTAAAGATGAAGTTTATGCAAATTTTACTAATGACTCACCACATAATGAGCTGCTGGAGGTCTCCTAGAGAACACACAGGAAATCTAATTAGCATAAAACTGTAGAAGAATTCTTAATGATAATATCTGGAATACAAAAAAATTACATAATATAACAATAGAAGTATTTTTTTAATGCTTTACCTTGTTGACAGGTCTCCTTTTCATCTAAAACTGGGACTTTTATTCCAAACTGTAAAACTATTCTGGTGTAGTCCATTGGTACTTGGATAAATAATGCCACAAACCTTAAGGTGTATGTTATTGTTGCATCTATGAGTCCACCTAACACATTTATTAAGTTTTTAGAGAGAGAGAGACTCGACAGTATATTTATAAATGTTTCTTGGAAACCACTTAACGCTGCTGAATCCCCCATCCTGAGGTAGGTCCTGAAGAAGCTGCCTGACTCTTCATCGGTGGTCAGTGAAGGGCATGTCTGCGACCTCAGAGTTGTCAAAAAAGTCAGCAGTGGTTTCGCTAACTCCAGAGACACCGTCTTTGTCAGCTCTGCCTCCAGTCCACAGTCCTCTCTCCCGGACAGAATGCAAATTGTTATTTTGGGAAGATCATCTAAGAAGTTTTCTCTCAGCAGTGGCTGAAAAATATTGTACAAGTTCATCAGGGCACCATAATATGTGTTTAAGTCAAAACCGGCTCTGGTGGTAGAGGAGCTGAAGCTGCGTGTATCTCCATTAGATAGAGAGTGGATTTGATCAATAACTTTTTGGATATCTTCTTCTAACTTGGTGCCCTCACCAGGAGTCTGGTTTGTGGTTCTTTGCATTAATTTGGGTTGCAAACTCGTTTGCTTGACATCACATATGATTCCTGTTGAAGCTAAACAGAAAGAAAGAAAGAGGGTCATTGTGTTATTTTTATACTATGTATTCAGCAAGCTCTTACTCTAACTGAAGTCTGAAGCCTCTTTTAGTAAGTGAGTAAAGTTTATTTGTTAAGCGCTTTTCATAGACAGGCAATCACAAAGCGCTGTACACAAAAGGCTAAAAAGAAACAGGACGTTAGGTACCAAAATAGACAATATAGACAATTTAAAACAAAAAACAACAACAACAAAAAAGTAACAACTGTTGTCAAACGTTCCCTGGCATGAATGTCATGGTACTTTGGGGGCTTTAAATCGTTTATTTGAACTGTTTTTTTCAGGGTGGAATGGTTGTACAGCATACATCTTTAGTGACTTGAAAAAACGAGTTTGGTGCACAAGCTTGAAGTTATCTGGAACTTTCCCAAAGTCACACAGGGTTAAAATTACACAGTGCATACATATATAGGCTCAAATGTATACATACAGCCCCACTAATATTTGGTTGAACGTTCTTTAACAAATTTCACCTTGGCCAGATGTTTTTGGCAGGCATGAACAAGCTGGTGGCATCATTCTGGCTGTGTATTTGACCACTCTTTCTGGCAGAATTGGAAGAGTCCATTTAAAGTAGTTGGCTTCCTGACACCAACCCGGCTTTAGCATAGTCCACAACTTTTTAATAGGGCTAAGGTCAGAGGTTTGTGTTTGAAAGCCTTACTTTTATCCCTCCAAACATGCCTCTCGTCACTGTGGCCAAACAGCTCAGTATTTGTCATAGACATTAGGCCGTTTCCAGTTCGTGGCTGGCTTGAGCTGTGATGGTTCCTGAACATCCTAACTATTTTTTTCTCATCTGAAGGTGACAGTTCAGGTCTTATTTCAGATTTTTGCAAAGCGGAGACACACCTTAAGAACTTTTTATGTACAGTTATTTCAACTGATGATCATGGAATCTTGGCTCCTTGGACTTTGGCCACCCCAGTGAGTGCTATCAGACAAATCCTTTTTATGTTGGCAAAGAGAAACTACCACCTCTATTCAATCATGATCAGTGACGAGATCTTAATACACCTTGGTCTTGTCAAGTTATAAGACACCATAGAGCCTTCAGCATCAAGTATTAAAAGTGAGTGTATGTATTTGAACCTGTATGCATCCTTCGGACCTTGTGTGGAAAAGAGAAAAACCAACATGAATCCAAACTTATGCAACCAATACTTGTTTTTTTGTTTTTTATAAAGATGTATGCTGTACAATTATTCCACCCTGGAAAAAGAACCGCTCAACAAAATCATTAAAAGCCGTGACATCCATGCCCATATCATACAAAATGACTGTGTTGCTTAGTAGGAAACAAATATTGATTTCTTTTATGATTGAGAAACAACAATCAAGTTTACTATTCACACGAGATATGATACTTGCAATGGAAAAGTCAAGACTTTCCATTAGCTAATAATGCTCAATTAACTGATTATTTTTAATTCAATTTGTGTTTTATTTATCATGTAATACTACATTAGAGGAACATTTTACTTTATTTTTTTTAAATTAAGACTGGCTAAAAACTGTATTTTGTACTCACCAAATAAGATGCACACAATGCAAATAGCTGGTGCTGACCACATTGTAAATGTCCTGAAATGTAAGCAGGAAACCCCCTCAGAAAAGTTTTTGTTAAATCCTTTTGGTTGATGTAGAGAACAATTTTAGCTTTGCTGAGAGAACAGGCCAGAGAACAGTCTTCATAACTGCTAACACTATAATGCCTGTCTCTGCTGAAGAAGTATTAAACCTCCTTAGGATTTTATCTTCGATCCTTCTTCGGTGCCGCTGTGCTCAAACAAGCTGCCGAGTCTTCACTTCAGTGTCAGCCTGCAACTCTACACCTGGTCTGAAAGCACCGTAATTAAGGACACTGGTAAAGGGGTAAAAGGAGGTGTGAAATGAGGGCTGTGAAACGCAGAAGGGATTTAAGCAATGGGCACAGCCAAAATGTTGCATTATTAATCGAGTGTGTTGATTAAGTCCTCCATTTGAAACTGGACTCCTGTCAGGAAGAGACAGAAGACACCAGACTGACTGCTGGAAGATTTATATGACATCTGCTACCTACAACTCCCATACCCAACCTGATCCAGCCTCTAAAAAGAGTCAAATTAGAAGATCTTTGAATCTAGGATACCATAAAATGATAACAATTCTTATCAACATACTGTTTCCCCAAATATATGCAAGAAAAATGATGGGCATGCCTTAGATGAGTATGTCTCACTTGCTAAAATTGATCTTTTGTTCCTTGTGTCACCTCTTGGTTGACTGCAGCTCCATTTGTATGTTGAGAAGAAAGTGCTTACAAAAACACGCATGGTGAAACAGAGAGCAAAGGAGAGAAACCTACATAAATCCTAGGCAAGTGAGAGGTTCTCACATAAAAAAAAATGAAATCAAACCAGTGCAAATACACCAAATAATAGGAATTAAATATTCTCCCAGCATCTTTCACTTCTTGGAAATGACTTGTTCATCTTGTTTGTACAGGTGATTATAATAAAAGCAAGTGTTTACCCCCGTCCTAATTTCTTAGCATACTTGTTATACTTCAGTGTTTCAGACCATAAAACAAAGATAATGAACTATTTAATGAACTATTTCTGTTTAATCAGAAACGTGTTGACTAGAGGATGTCTGTCAAATTGAAAAAGGCTAAATGATCTCAAAAAGGAACACATCACACCATGATCTAAAGAAACTGCTGAGAAGACTGACATCTATCAGTCTGGAAAACCATTTCTAAGGCTTTGGGACTCCAGCAAATACAGTGAGTGCCGTTATCCACAAATAAGGAAAACTTCAACAGCGGTGAACTTTCCCAGGATGGGCCAGATGACCAAAATTGATCCAAGAGGCTCATCCAGGAGGTCACAAAAGAACCAGAACAACTTCTAAAGAACTGCAGGCCTGACTTGCCTAAGTTAAAATCCAAGTTCATAATTCAACAATAAGAAATATACTGGGCAAAAATGCCATGTATAGGAGAATTTCAAGTATAAAACCACTGCTGGTCAAAAAGAACGCAAAGGCTCGTCTCACACTTACCAGGAGACGAGATAATTATCCACAAGACTTTTAGGAAGGAGCAAAATATTCTGTTAACTGACAAAAGTTTAACTTTTTTTTGGAAGGTTTGAGTCCTTTTATATTTGGATCAAAAGAGCATTTCATAAAAATATTATACCAACAGTCAGACAGTGGCGGGAGTGTGATGGTCTAGGCTGCTTCAGAAAGGGGACGACTTGATGGAATCAGGAATTCTGCTCTCTACCAGAAAACCCTGAATGAGAGTCAGTTTTTCAGTTCAAGCGTTCTTGGAGTGTGCAGCAAGATAATGATCTGACACATACGACCAGGTCAACCTCAAAATGGCTCTGGAAAAACAAAAAGGTCTTGGATTGGCCTAGTCCAAGTCCAGAGTTAAATCTGATTGAGATGCTTTGGCATGACCTTAAACAGGCCGTTCAATTACTTTTTAAAAAACATAGGACTAGGTAGCTTTGGATAGCTTTTTTCCCTTAAACATTTTATATTAACTCAGGTCATCTTTGTCTAATATAAAAAAAATTGATGATCTGAAACATGACAAATGTGAAAGTACAGAAGGGAGCAATTAATTTTTCACAGAGCTGTAAATGTTAATGAACTTTAGGTTATAAATACCCTTGTACCATTCAAAAGCAAGTTTTTGGAATTTGAAGATGGATTAAAAAAAAAAAAAAAAAGGTGATTTTGACTTAAGTGCAGCCTTTGAACTTTAAGCAAAAATATTGGATTAACTTCATTAGAGGTAACAAAAAAAAAACAAAACTGAGTGCACATTATGCTGATCAAACTCTGTTGAGATAAATAGTACGAAGCACTAAATCCAACATTTGTAGGCTCTAATACTTTGTGCCATCATTCCCGTGGAATTGACGATATCAGACTTCTACCTTTGTCCTCCCAGAATTTAAAGAACATCTTTCAGCATCATCTGAACTGTAGAGGAAATAAAACAAAAAGGGCATTCAAGATGTTTTTAACTGTTTTAAAACTTTGTTTCAGAAATGAACTGTATATACACTTTACAATAGCGTACAGCCTGACAGATAACAAAGATCTCCTAAACATTTCAAATACATCTTCAGCACAAATAGCAATTCTTGCAAGTAAAATGGCTTAATGTATACTGAAAATTAAACCAAAACAATAAGAAAAAAAAAAAAAAAAAAGGCATCGACACGACTGATCTTTTTGGCAGAAAAAGTGCCATGATTTAAATTTAATTCAGGACTTTCCCACAAAAGCAAGCTGTATTCTTTACATGCTAAGCTTAACAGTTCAGTGACATAGCGCTAAACTAAACATACAGATATTTGTAAGAAACAAAAAGAAGAAAACACAAAACTCCATCTGATGTAAAGTTAAATCTTCATTAATACATTTAAAAGTAGATATGACATGCCTTTAGAAATCAAAAATACAAAAGGTTTTTTCCTTACTTTAAGGATTTTTTTTTTTTTTTTTTAACATGAAGCTGCATGTATTGTACAACACTCAGTGTACAATAAACTGGTAATGCACATAAAAATGAGTTGGATGAAATGTATCCAATGCCTCCTGTTGACCCTTCAGAATAAAAGCCATGACTGACGATTTTACATAATCGCACAGCCCAGTGACGAGATTGAGCGCATCACACCACACAGAGTGAGGCTTGCATAATAGAAGAGGGTCAGGATGGTGAGAGATCATTGGGTGGATGGGGAGTTGGGCTACCACGGTGGGATCTCGAGACCGGTCCCCTATTCCAAGCACATTACTTTTGACTCTGAATGGGGACCGAAAACAGCGTGGAATCAAAGAAAGACACTTAAGCCTTCATCCCATGTACACGTTACATTCATAGTCTGTGTACATGTGTACTCATTACGTTGTGTCTGAGCAAACACCGTTGTGGCTTTTAACAATGTAACTTGAATACAAGCTGATTTTTAAGTTCTGGAAAGCAATTTACTTGTGGCAAGAAAGGCAAAAACAAACAAAAAACACAACAGAGAGCAGCAGGGATTGTTTGGGAAGAGTAGGATTCAACCTAGCCAATTTCCACATGGGGGCACGATTCAAATGGCATCACAGTACACAATATATATACTGCACACTATCGGCAAGGAAAAAGAAGAATTTTTAGATTTTTTTATAAATTGTCAAAGGGTGGGTATCTCCATGTTTCAGCATCAGCAAAGCTTGGAGGTTTGATTGTCTCTTTCCAGTGAAGTATTTTATGGGTTGGAGCATGGGAGAAAAGCCACGAGCAGGAACTTGTATTGTATGGCACTATACAGGCAACACACACA